GCAGCGCCATTTGCGCGAATGTTTCGGTGTCGAAGGCAAACGCGATGAAGTGCAGGCCGATCACGTTGAGGATGTACCAGGGCCCATCTAAGGCGGACGCAAACAACATCACCGCGCTGCCGCATACGAGGGCGCTGTAGGAGACCGTCTTGATTCCCAACTCCGAGCCTGCCGCGACCGAGAGGGTGGCACAGACCATGATGCTGGCAATCACGGGGGGCTCTTGGCGAACTCCATTCCCCGCAGGGCCATGAAAGGAGTTCTGGGGGCTTCGCAATCTGCGCTCGTGCAGTGTTCGAGCCCCTATAAACGAACACTTCCACATACATGCATGGACATGCAGGTTTGCATGCGGGATGAGGACTAGGCGGATGAGGATGCGGATGGTGAGAAGGAGAAGGATGACGAGGATGATGGCGGTGACGATGGTTGTTGGTGTTGAAGGTAATATAGGGGCCTCAACAATTATCCATACTATTTTCGGGGTTCCTTATTATATTATGGTATAATGGGCCCCAAAACCCTATTCTAACTATTGAGGCCCCTATAGTCCTATAGTAATCATGACGACTCGAAGATCGAAACTTCTCTTCTTGTGGGCGGAATGATTCCTTAGAGTTCCTCGTTAAAACTACACTGCAATGTGACCCCCAGAACCTTCCCTAATTGTTTATCAACGCCCCTATGGTAATCCTGAAAGGACTTAGGGCCCCAGGTCGGGTCCTACGCGCCAAAAACTGCGCCAAAAACCCTGTTCTTTCGGCTTCGTCCTTGCTAGGTAGGAGGGAAAAAAATTATCAAGACCCCCCCATTGCACCATTGGAGGACGAGGCAGAGGAGGGCGAGCCGCTGATCGGAGCCAAGACCCAGGCTGGGACGGCCTTGGTCTTTTTAGGAATGTTCTAAGGGGTTCAGGGTTTAGGGCTCAGAGGCGACCTTGCAAAGCAAGCCTGCAGCAAAAAGGGCTCAGAGGCTGAAGTTTGCAAAAGTGCAATACGAAGAATTTGTACTTGAGTAAAGGAAGATCTTCGACTCTTTTTTCTGTGGTGTGATGCTTCATACAGTCGAACTGCGGATCCTGGAGATTTTGCCTGCCTTTCTGGTCCATGTGCGAGGCCCTAAATTGTAGACGGAGCGGTTTAGGTTGCCGGAGAAACCTGGAACCGGAACAGCCGCGAGGTGAAGAACGTGGACGAGGTGGATGTTCTGACGGTGCAGGAGAGTCGCCAGCGCTCGAGGCTTAAAGGTGATCGCGCGGGAGATGTGTCACTGCAGCACTGTCTTTTGATCATGTGCATCTGGCTTGGACAGCCTAGGAAACTGCTTCTGCCTGCTCGCCGGAATTTTATGCGGCATCGCCATTTTTGTTGCCGGCACCCTCTGGGAGAAGCACAGTGCCAGTGTTGGATCAATACTGTTGGTTTCCGGTGGCGAGAAAACTGTGCCCCCTCCCGGTGCTTTGCAACAACCTGCTGCAAGCCCAAGCGCTGGAGCCCCTCCTGCCCAAGACCTGCAGCCTCTCGTCCCTACTCAGCTTTCGACCACAATCCCGACTCCTGCCTTTAGACCTGCAACAACCCGGCCGGCAGTGACGACGCCGGGGCTGCCTCCTTTGACGCCAACAAAGCTTGGCTTGTTCTCGGCTGGCGACTACAGGTATCCCCATGATCCCAGCAGCTCTGCGTTTAACGCGAAGGCCATGGAATGCCTCAGACAGACGAACCCTGACCTCCAGCGCTTTGAGTATCCTGCTGATGCTGAAGAGCATTTCGAAGAGCTGAATCGAACAATGAGCCAGTTCACCAGAGGGGTGAAACCGCTCTGCGGCAAAATCTCAGCTGGCTTCTGCGGTCCATGGCTGGAGAACTACTGGATCTGGGAGTTCAGCGCCATATGGAAAAACCGCAAGAATGGAACACGGCTTCGGGATATCTTCGGGCCGTATATTCCAATCATCTTTCCTTTCCTGGATATCTTTATTCCACATTTTTATCGGTACCCGAAAGGCACCCTTGAAACTCTGAACCAAACATTAAGGCCCAATGTGCTGTACCTAGCAGTATCTCAGTGCGACGATGGCATCTTTGGCCATTGGCCAGACCGGAAACTGGTTCCATTCAGGCAGACGGACTTCCCAAATATGCTGGTGCTGAGTGCAGGCGGCTACGGCCATGTCCCCTTGCCACTATTCAAGCAGATTGAAGCGCCAGTTCAAGCGGCTCCAATACCAGAGAGGACTTATGCAGTTTCTTTCATGGGCTCATTAGATCACGGACCAAAAGGATCCCGGCCAACCATGAAGGCCATGGCAGAAAGATGGGGCAAGCTGAGGAACAAAACCGTGAGGATAGGTAAAGGTAGCGACTGGAAGGAGGTCATGACGAATACGACCCTGAATCTCTCCCCCCGTGGTTTCGGACGGAATGCTTACCGGACAGAGGAGCTGTTTCAGATGGGTTTTATCCCAGTCTACATCCATGAGAAGGGGCCGTGGCTCTTCTACCGAGATCTTTGGACCGAGGAGAAAATCGGCTTCTTCTCCACACCTGGCGGTTTGGAGTCCACCTTGGATCGCGCTTTTTCTGATATGCAAAAGCTCATGGACATGGAGAGACGAATCCGGGCCATGCGAGACACTCACTTTATGCCTTTGGGTGTGCTGGACCAGATCTCGAAGTTCATGACAGAGCGGGACGGCGGTGGCGACTTGAGGTGTGAACCTTTGCCGGACAGCATCCTATGAGAGTTGCGGGTACACTCTGAAAGTGTTCATTCTCCGAGTGATTTTCGGACTTGATGTGTGGTGAAGCTTAGTTTCACTTCCAAGTCCTCTTGAGGATCGTTTGGGATTGACCTGCATGCCCCACCACACTAATTCTGTCTATGCTAAGCCTACGTAACTTATATAGGCCTGAAAATTAGAAGCCTTATCCCAGTTCAGTTAAAGGTATATGGATGCAACAGACGACACCCCAAAGCCCTATTCTGCTTAGTTCTGCTTGTCAAAGGCCCCTATTTTACAATGTATATAGCGAACTGCGGATCTTGAGTGGTGCTTCAAGGAATTCATCCCCCCCCCCCACTCGCTTCTGCATCAGACTTGGGCAAACTTTGCTTACAGGGACCCTTTGGAGTATAGGTATCTGTTGACCTTATTATACTTATGATTCTTGTCAGTACATATCATCATGTTTCGTTACTATCATTATGACGATTCCGCTTATTGTTGTTATTTGTTGGGCATGTTGCTCCCTGCCAGAGTTAAAACTTTTCTTGGCTAGGGTCCCTAGGGTATTCAGCCCCTAGCCCCTGTAAGAAAGGGACCCAGCGGATCTGTGGCGCACGCACCGGCTTAGCTGGAGGTAGAAGCTGCCAAATGCAAGAGCACGGCATCTTTAGAAATCCCAAACCGAACACTAAACCCGTATGGAACACTGGAGACCTTGCCAGGCTTGTCCGAGTGTGAGTGTCAAAAGACCTGTATGACACCGCAGATAGCAATTCTGAAATGTGAGAGCATAAGTTCCGATGGGTTTAGAGCTTGTTGTTTGAGATCAGTGACAATGTAACAGACGGTTGGGGCTCGTCCCAAGTCGGACGCTGGAGCGAAACAACTATAACGCGACATTGGGGCACACGATAACAAGGTCTGTGAAGAACAATACCAGCAATAAAACTTTGCATCGAACAAGGTAAACATAGAAATTCGACATATTTATTGTCTTGATCGTCACCGCAACAACAGCAGTAGCAATAAGAATAGTAGCAGCACTGAGCGTAGTAGTAATGAATTGTAAAACCATGTTTATAGTACTGCTACTGCTGCTGCTGCTGCTGCTGCTGCGGCTGTGGCTACGGCTACTGCTCCCACTCCTGCTGCTGCTGCTACTGCTACTGCTACTGCTGACCATAATGACAAGAATATTACTAATGGTCATAGTCAAGAAAAAGCGTCGACTTTGGTTCACTAAGACCTTGCCAGGCTTTGTCCGACTGTCAAAAATGACGGAGCTTTCTTCGCCACTGCCAACCCTCCCGGAGTCGGCGATGCGCATGCAGTGGGTTGTACGGTCTACTTTGTACTTCTCCAACTCTTCCTCATGCTGGGGAAACACGGTCGCGACGAGCCGCTGCAGCTACGGTTTCTGTTCATTTTCCTCTCCTGACGATCAAGTACGACGATAGTCATATCTTCTTCCCATCATCGTGTGAAGAGCAGCAAGCAGAGCCATGGGCCGCCTTTCCACGCTTCGCTCGGGCCGCTTTGAGAGGCGCAGGGCCTTGTGATGATGGATTTAGGGTTTAGGGTTTCTCGCCGTCAGGCTTCACGAACCGAATGCCTGGAAGAGAGAGAGAGAGAGAGATAGAGGGTTTCTCGCTGGCTGACAAGAGCCCAGCTGCGAACTGCCAGCTTGTTCGTGAGGTTCTGCTGGCTGATTAAGTCTTGAACGGATCTTTCCACCACGACGCAATGATGCCATACTCACGGAAGCAAACTGAAGTCCTAGGTGATGTTGCCACGATGAGTCTTGCAGCTTCTGGGACCTCGGGATGTGGTTTACTTACGCGCTTCGGCTTCATAACGCTTCATAGCAGTCGGAGCAGGAAAAGTAATAGTAGTAGTGGTCGTCGTAGTAGTCGTTATACAAGTATTTAGTAGTTGTACAAATAGTCCCAGCTGATGCCGAATTTGAGCCTGGGTTCAAAAAGTACAAGTACCAGCACTGGTTCTGGTACTGGGACTAGGTACGAGGTACTGGGTACTAAGAAGAAGAATCACACCATGACCCGCAGTAGTCATAGTAATCGCAATAGCGGAGCAACAGCAGTAAGACTGGCCGCCTTCGTCATGCTCGTACTTGAGGTGTCCCTTCACTATCTTCTGCCTTCCCGCCTGCCCACTTGGCTCCAGTTTGCCGTGCCTCCGAGATCCGCCATTGCAATGAGGGCTTGGCCACACGATATCACAGCCGTCAGCTGCAGCAAGTAAGCCTCCTGACATGTCAGACACACTACCAAGCTCCATAAAGTTAGCGGCTCTGTCTTTAGATTCGGGCATTCAACCTGCGAGAGCACCCGGGTTGGGCGCCTGGGCTGCGGCCGCGATGCCCGCAACCTGCCTGCCTGTTTCTCATGAGAAGCCCTTCTGTTGTCTTGTTTGGAACTGTGTGGGTTTGGATCGAGCGACCCCATCGAGACGAGTTCGGAGGTGCTTCTAGTGCACAGCGAACGGATCGCCGGAGCCAAGGCAAGCAAGCCGTCGGAGAAACAGACGTCTGACAAGGCTCTGGGGCGTGGGGGAACTTTGGCTCTTGAGACCTTTCCGAGTTTCGGGTCCGTCGCAGAGGTTGAGGTTGGGGCTGCGAGAACTCGGGGTTGTAGATTTGTATTGCATGTACTCTGGACAGCAGCAGACAGACTCCCTTCTGCCTTAGTACTACACTGAAGGCCTCGAAGAAGGCACCGCTGCCGCCGCTGAAAGTGAGTGGCTGCTCTGTCGCTCATCTGAGACTCTGGAGAGGTGGCAGCAGATATTTTTGGGGAGAGATCCAGCTTGGGGTCTGGAAGTCGATCCTTTTTGCTATGCACAGGACGTGCAAAGCCCGCTTGACAGATCCTTTCGGTGCGGTAAGGATGTGACCATCAGCGGCATCATTGCGGGCGAGTATGTGCCTGGTCTCAGGGATCTGATTGTTTTGGATCCGGGTTTGAGCAAACCCTCATCGAAGCACCGATTCACAGGCTTTAGATGGCTTTAGGCTTCTCAATAAAACGTTTCGGGTGAAGGGGCAAATCTGCCAGTGCATGCCCCAACCCCAGGGCTGCCAGAAAACCCTCATGGAACATCATGGAACCCCAGTGGAACCCTAACAGAACCCCTGTATAGCACCCTTGTAGAACAGAGAGACTTGTAGAATTTGTTACTTTTCGCCGACCCATGCCTTGCATTCAAGTATTCAAGTTACAGTGCGCACCTTCATCTGGTCGCCGTTTGGGACCACCGTCCCCAGCGAACGTTTTTGCCATAACTGCCCGAGAAGCCGCAAGCGAGGTACCAGATTCCACGAATCACGGCAAAGTGGTGTACAAGAAGAAGGAAAAGTCACAGGGAATAGATGAGCCTCGACTGCTTACGGGGTGGGTTTAGGGAGTTTAGGGCTTACAGGGCTTGCTTGCATCGGCCTCATGTACGGGTTTTTACACAAGGGCTTGTGATTGAGGGAATTCCTCCAGTTTCAACTCCTCCACTGGCTGCTGAAGGAAATCGGAACTGCAAAGAAGCCTTCATCCCACCTCAAATCCACCACAACTGAACGAATAAAAACCCTGAATCGCTCTTGGAGGCTCCGGGTACAGGGTTTTGGGCGTTTTAGCAGGGCTTTAGGACAATCTTCGGGTTTCGGGTTTAAGCAGCCATTTAGGGTTTCAGAGTTTAATGTCAAGGGTCTTGTGGTTTAGCGATTTTCGGTTCATCGGGCAGGATGGATAGTAGAGTTTAGAACGGGCTGCCCCCGTACGAATGCGGCCGAGAGAGTTCTCCTTATCCGTGGAAACAGGGAAGACTCAGGGTTTAGGATTGAAGGCCAAGTCTGCACACCCGAAACCCCACTCTAGGGGAGGGAGTTCCGCATACTAGGCTTTCTAAGGGACCCAAGTCAGCCTTGTGAATTTTCACCAGCTCGCCGTTTCAAAGCTTCGCTCCGGGGGCCGGGTACGAACCTTAAACCTTAGTGGAGACCCTGGAGCCGTGCCTGCGAGAGGGAGTGTGCGAGTCGAAACCTTTGTGGGCATATGGGAGTTTCCGAAAATAGGGGTACCTTATTCGGGGGTCCTTATAATAAGGATCCTACTATATAGGGTACTATATTCGGGTTCCCTATATTCGGAAACTCCCATATTGGCCCTTTGAGTTCCCGGTGCAGATCGACATTCAGAGAGGGAGCTTTGCATAGATCTCCGTGGTCCAGTCAACAAGCTTCCATTGGTTGGGACGTCATCTGCGGTAGTCAAAGGGCTTAGGGTAGCAATCATTTAATGCCTGGAGGGGCCGGTCAGGAGGAACAGAAGCCAAGCCTACTCGTAGCATGTAACCCGAGACCCTAACGGAAAAAGCCGTAACACCTTGTATCAGAGGTGCTGATCTACTTCTGGGATGAGCGGGACGGCCCCGAACTCTGTGGCTGGTGGTTCGGCCCCAAGGTCCTCGCCTCAGTTCGGTGTCATGAATACGGTAGGAAAAGGTTTCGGGTTTAGGGTTTAGGTTCATACTGGGCATATACAAGTCTGTGCAAAAGGTTCATACTGGGAGAGCGGCAAACTACCAGTACCAGGCGTCCTTGCATGCAAGCTTGCAGCAAAAGGTTCATACTGGGATATATGCATTCAGAGTGGGATGCTTCTACGGAAGTCGTAGCAGACTACTTCTGGAGTCGAGTCTTTGGGGTTTAGGGGCAGTCGTAATCGGCCTGGATGCAAAAAGGGTTTAGGGTTTCTTAACCCTGAACTCTTTGACTATAAAGCAAGCGAGATAGCTGCTTGCAGCGCTTTTGCAACTGTGCTCTTCGACTAAGACTTAACCCCTGCAATACGGGCTCGTCCTAGCTAGGCGGGAGGCAAAAAACTCCTTCAAAGAAGCAGAGATTTTAGCGGTCCGAGGTTCCTAAACCCTAAACCGGCTGCGGAAAGGAAAAATAGCTCTAATTGCAATAGTAATAACGCTAGTAATAATAACAGCTGCTCCTCCTCCGACGACGACTACTGCTACTGCTACTACCCCGTGAGGTGGGTGGCGACCAAGTCTGGGCTTACCACCCCAGCTGCACAGCGGGTACGCCCCCGGGCTCACAGCCGGGAAGCTCAGAAATCCTTGACGAGCCTTGGTCTTGGACGGCCGGGATGCAGAGTGGTGGTAGTGGTAGTAGTAGTTGTTGTAGGAGGAGGAGGAGGAGGAGGAGTAGGGGTAGGAGTAGGCGTAGGCGTGTAGGTGTTTGCGTAGGAGTAGGAGTAGGAGCAGCAGCAGTAGCTTCCTTATTGTGGACCTGACGAGCACGTCTGCAGAATCAGAGCCCGGGAGTTGTCCGGGAGAGACCGTATACCAAGCCGAGTTCTCCGGGGGTGCGCGCGTAGCTCGTACTAGCGTCAAGGCTCGTGCATTCCTGACGATACAGCTCGAAGAGCAATTGGACATTCTAGATTTGTGCTCCCATTCCAAACAGAGATGCCTAAAGAAGTCAATAAAGTGCGAAGTACTGCCAACTGGCCGATATCCTAGAATTGCATCTTGACACTGGTATGCTTTGTCTACTCTGATCGGTCGGTGGAAAAGCGCAACCCTAAATCCGAAACCGACTCAAAACCTTGAAGGTTTCTTTCCCGTTCGTGGGGCTCTGCGCACAGGTGGAACGTGCCGCACGACGGCCCGATTGACCAGGTGGACGGTTCTCAACATAATCTGATGATAGTGACCCTCCACCTTGTTGCTACCCCCTCACAGGTATGCCTCATGCGACACCTCCTCTCGAATTGAAGTGCGTGTGGCAGACTAGTGACTAGATGTTGACTGTAGCCATGCATCTTTGATGAGATGCGTTTGTTTTGTTGTGCCGCCTGAAGTGTGCTGTTCTGCTAGGCTTTCAAGATCTCTGCGATTCGAGCTTCTGCCCGGGAGGGCAGCAGCAAGAGAGCGTCCTCCGCGGCTAAGCTGCAAAATGGGAGTTTCCGAAAATTAGGGGTACCTTATTTGGGATCCTACTATTTAGGGTAGGTCCCCTATGTTTGCAAACTCCCAAATACAGCAGGCAGGAGGGTGGACAGTTGACAGAACATCGCTCATCATTCGTGCAGGTTAAGGGTCTTTTCGGGAATCGACTGTTCCTGTACGCTAGACCCGACTGGCAGGTCTCCAAACTACTCACGTTTGCCGTCTTGGCCAGTTGCGATTGGCAAGTTGGGGCCGTTGAGGCATTGCTCATACAATTTGTGCATGGATGCGCTGGTGCCCTGAATCTGTCGGAAGTCAGAGTTTCGAGTGAAAGAGCTGCCTCAAAGCGCTCCTTCAATCATGCCAGCTGCCTGTAAAGCATCCGAATTGGAGTTGTCTCAAGTCGTTCGTGGTGAAGAGCATGGGCCGCGCGACTGTGCCTGCTAATTGAGGAAAAGCCTGCAGCAGAAGTTGCACCAAAGAAGCAGCGCACAGCCGAGGCGAACGGCTGGCAGGGTTGAAGTACAGAGCTTTGGCACAAGATGCAGGAAAGAATTGAATGCAGAATTGAATAGACAAGCGAACAAATAGATACATTTGTGTATATATATATATATATGTGTGTGTATACATGATTAATCACCACTAACTAGTGAACATGCAAGTAGAAGTACATGCATAGATAAGCAGGTAAGTACGAATGAATATGCAAGTGAGTACATGTAAGTCTACAACAATGTATAGAAAACGCAATAATTACATCTATATATATATATATATACACACACACACACACACCTCCATGGTTCATCTTATCTTACTAGCTTTCGGTCGGAGTTAGTTTGCTTTTGCAAGCCTGGAGGTGCAGAAGAAAGAGAAGGTTGAGAAAGCCACGACGCGCAAAGCCAGCCAGTCCAAGAGCAAGAAGCAGGTCACCGACACCTGGCCGCAGACTTTTCAAGGCGCCTCCAAGCCTGGGGCCTAGCCTAAATCCCTAAGCCCCGAACCCTGGACTCTCTTCAAGTCGTGCTTGCCTCGTGGGAGTGTGCGCGTCGAAACCTCGAAACCCTCAGCCCCAAAGAAACTATGGCCCCCATGCAGTCCCGCTATACATCCTAAATACTACTCCCTGGTTCGCGTTATTCATTCACACAGCCACGTGCCCCGATCCCCATATGGCTGGCTGACGGCTCATCTTCTAATACACCTCCGCAGCGCAGTCGTCGGTGGTGCTGCACGCAGTGCCTGCGAGCAAGTTCCGTCAGGCATCCGGACTTGGCGAACGCTTCCGTGGATTGTACGTGGCAGCGCTTGTCGGCTACAGTGAAGCGTGCCGAACAACGTCGCAATGGTCAAGTCACGGCCCAACTTCTACGCCGTCGCACGCGGTCGCAGACCTGGCGTTTACAGAACCTGGGAGGAGTGCAAGAAGCAGGTACACGGCTTTCCGAGGGCGTGCCACAAAGGGTTCCAAACCGAGCGGGAGGCTGAAGCCTTTGTGCGCGCAGCATCGCCAGCAAGTCGTGACACGAACAAGGAGGCTAGCACCTCGCCACAGCGCGAGGTGCCCAAGCCTGACCTCTCTCTGGAAGCAAAGACCCTTGCGGAGCTGCGTGACGAGAACCAGAGAGCAGCTGCCAAAGAGGTGCTCTTCGGCCGAAATGTGTTCATCACGGGCCTCCCGGGCTGCGGCAAGTCCTTCCTGCTGAAGAAGCTGATCGGGATCTTGCGCTTGGGCAAGGGCCACGAGGCGGTTGCTGTTTGTGCTTCAACCGGTGTGGCTGGCATCCACATTGGGGGCGCAACGATACACTCCTACCTGGGCTGTGGCAAAGGGGGAATCGGAGGAGGACTGGGATAGAGCCTCCTGCAGCCCGAAGGCCAGGAAGCGCATCCGCCGTACCGAGGTCCTGCTGATTGACGAAGTTAGCATGCTTTCGGGCGAGTTTCTGGAGAAAGCCTCGGAACTGGTCGCTCGAATACGAGCTTCTGAGAAGCCCTTCGGAGCCCTTCAGGTAGTTCTCTGCGGGGATTTCCTGCAGCTCCCACCAATCAAGGGAAACTTCATGGCCTTCCAGTCCGCGGTCTGGCAGGCCTTGAACCTGAGGCACATCGTTCTGAAGCACAACTTCCGGCAATCACATGATCAGGGGTTCCAGGCACTGCTAGGACAGCTGCGTTTGGGCATCCTGCAAAAGTCGAAGCTGGCCGCCGCCTTGGACAACGAAGGTGCGAAGGTCTATCCGAAAATCGTCAGCACCAAGGATGAAGCGCAAGAGATCAACTCAAGGAATCTCGGCGTACTGCCAGACAAGGTCAGGACCTTTACCTCGCGGGACCAGGCGGACCGCCTGGATGATCCTGCGGTGGTGAATGCGCTGGAAAGTTTGCTTGTGGAGAAGACGCTGGAACTAAAGGTGGGCTGCGTCGTTATGCTGCTGCAGAACCTTCGCCTACCAAGCGACTGCAAGCCCATGGTCTTCAACACTCCACGCAAAGGGCGAAAGCGCCCTTTGGACCGCGACATCGAGTACGACACCAGTTTCATGGATCTCCCCTCCGAGTACCAGGGGTTGCAAACCCCATTGGTCAACGGCAGCATTGGCATGGTGGTCGGCTTTGAACATTCGCCCGAGGACGGAATTGACATTGAGTGTCCGCTTGTGGAGTTTTCGCGGGGGTACCGAAAGCTCATTGTGCCTTCGGAATTCTCCGGCGAGCTCGGCCACCTCGGAAAGTACAGCCGCAGGCAGATTCCCCTCAAGCTGGCCTGGGCTCTCACGGTGCACAAGACGCAAGGCTTGACTTTGCAGACGGGGGAGCTGGACCTGTCCAGGGTTTTCGAGACTGCGCAGGTGTGGCACTCTCCAGGTTCCAGACGCTCGCCGGGGTGAAGATTTCAGGGATGCCAAAGCAGATCCCGAGCCCATCCCTACAGCGCATGCAAGCGCTGCAGTTTCATGCGTCCCTGGAACGCTAGGAGATAGGCTTTTGAAGCTCTTGGTTGTGTCCCTTGCAATCTCCAGTTTCTGGGTTCTTGCACGTTCAAGACGTTCCAATAAGTAAGCGTGTAATTAAGGTGCGCAGTTTGTTTCACATAGGGTCTGGCAGCCAGTTCTAGATGGAGAGCTGATGGAGAGGCGATGCTCCTTCGGCGATCCAGCCGCTGGGGCAGTCCACGTAACCACGAGGGCTGACAGGACGAGTGTGACAGAGCACGGAGGTGTACCACAGACGTTTGAACAATTAACGATACAACGAAACCTTAAGCCCTAAACTTTAAGGCTCTGTGACAAGCGATCGTGAAAGTGCTGCAGTGTTTTTTTTTCAGGAAGTCTGAAACCTGGCATCTGCTTTCGCCTAGCGGAAAACCAGCTTTCCGGATCTTTGCGAGACGGGAATGGGACGTCAACAAAAAACGCTTGCTTGAGACTCCTCGTTCAAAGATGGGTGTGCAGCCAGAGCTGCTGTTGAGATTGATAGAGGCCTTTTATTTGTCTGAGAACGGTGGATGAAGGATTCTTGCTCAGCATCACCCTCTCAAACGTAGGTTCACCTTCGATTCAACAGACTCAGCACCAACAACCTCGCCAGGCTTGTCCAAGGGTGAGCGCCGAAACCCCAAGAGGGCGGAGCAATACCTGACTGAGGTCGAGTCTTCCAGCGAGGATGAGGAGGAAGAGGAGGAGGAGGAAGAGAAGGAGGAAAAGGAGGAGGAAGAGAAGGAGGAAAAGGAGGATAAGGCTTCGGAGAAGGCTTCAGAGAAGGATGAAGACGAAGACGAAGACGAGGAGGACGAAGATGAAGAAGAAGAGGAGGAGGAGAAGGAAGAGAAACCCAAGTCCAGAAAGAAGGAGACAACATCACGTAGCAAGGCAAAGAAGGCGATCTTTCTTGCGCCACGACTAGCACCAGTGAGGGCTCAGGGATAGACATGCATGTCAACCACGACACATGCTTTCCGGAAGGCTTTGCATCTTGCGTCTGAAAGGTAGAGGAGGAGGACGAAGATGAGAAAGAAGAGAAGGACGATGACGATGACGAGGAAGAAGAGGAAGACGAGGTCGGAACAATGACTCCGAACGTGAGGGTTTGGGGATCTGCTGGGATAAGACGCCTCATTGGTCCCTGTGTGCCCAAGGAGGACGAAGAGGAGGAAGACGACAAGCCGAAGTCAAAGAAGGACAGCAAGCGGAGCTCGCGATCAGAAGCCAAAGAGAGCCTGCTTCTCAGTGCCATATAATTAATCCCAGAATATAAGGCAATTGGCAAATATGTATATATATATATATACACATATATTATACACATATTAACGGTATGTAAACTGCATGTTACACCACACAACCTCATAGAATACAGCAAAGTATAGTGCAGCATAAGGCCATCTGGGCTGGTGCTGCTTCTCACAGCTTTTGGGAGCTCCGGTTGTGGAGAGTTGCGGAGCTTGTTGACTGTTGAGGGGAGGCAGAGGATCCCACAGCTTAATCACAATGGTTGACTGTACCTTAACCCTGAATAACCTCCCTTTTTAGGGCTCCTTATTATATTTTCTTTATATAAGTCCTTAAAAATGCAGGTTCTTCGGGGTTAAGGTAAAGGTTACCCTAAGTGTCTACTATAGGGTTTCTATCAGGGTTTACTATAAGGCGGCTTATCACAAGGGCTTCCTTTTAAAAGGGTTACTGGAAGGCCTTGCTTGCTATAGGGCCTAAACAACTAGAATAGGGCTTTGGGGGTACCTTATAGTTAAGGAACTGAAGGTTGCTGTAGAGGCCTTTATTTACAGTCAGAATAGGTACGGGATCTAGCCGGTAGAGCATAGCAGAGATGTCTGGAGGTGACAAGAAGCCGGCCGAGTCCGCAGGCAACTACTTCGCTTCGGACTCAGCTCGAGAAGTCAGTCCTTCTCACTTCACGAGCTGTCAATGCTCTTCCTTTCTCAGCTGCCATGGGAAGACCATGTATGCAAACTGCGACACCGCAGCACCCGCGAGGTACCACAACTGAAACCGAACATAGTCGGGACCGCATGGTCAAGTTCTGACGAACTCAAACCCGAATCCTACTGTGATGGACCGGGATGAGAGGCTATCAGAGCCTGAGAGCCTGCATCCACGACGCGAAGCTGCTTGGGCTAGAGTCCGCTAGAGCAACACCGAGGTCACGGCCTACAACAAGCGCCGAGAGGCCGTTCTGGCTTGGGACTAGGGTTAAGGGACTGATGCCTGGTGGTTAAGGGGCACTTTCCCAAGGCACGGCATGGGTTGCATACCGTTGGACCATGGTGTTGCTATCTCTTTTGGTGAGTCGTTTCGGTGGGTTCAAGCTGCAGCGGATCTGCTTGTGGATGCTTTCCTGCCTTCCTGACCAGTTTCCCTCTGGTATCTGGAATCGCCTCACGCTGCATTTCATCTCTTGGCACAGATAGTTTTGCTCCTGCAAAAACCCGCCCGCAACACCATATTACTGGTGAGAGACACTTCGGTGTGAAGGGCAAAGCATTCCACAAGCCGGCGGCAGAATCTTAGGTCGAATATTTTAACCATTTTACACCCTTATATTCGCTAATTGGTGAAATTAGAGCGCCCCTTTTCTATTAGTTTAATTCCTTCGCAGGCAAGGGTGTGAAACTGACCAGGCAGCTTAACAACCATTCTCCAGGAACGTGCCAAGGCTGAGGAGGAGAAGAAGAAGAAGGTGCAGTGCGAGACAGTGTCCCAAACAGGTCATAGCTGTGTATGTATATAACCTACATTTATATGTGTATGTAGACATTTATGTGTATGTATATATATATATATATATATGTATATTATATGTGTGTGTAAGGTAGAATCTAGATACTGAGATACTGCACATTATATGTGATAAGACGATCAAACTGCCTCTCTTATCTGAGTGTGGACGTATGCTTTTAGCGCCTGGTGTGTAAGTTTGGGTGAGGTTGGTACGGAGGAATCCGGGAAGTTCGAAGCTGTTAGCCCGCAACATCCCACGCAATGTAAGGATGTCGACGTGCGAAGATGTGTGGTAGTTCAACTCTGTTAATCTGCTACGGCCCGTGGTTTGGCAGTTGAAGATGGCGCATCGAAGCCGCTACCTGAATGCCTAAGACCCTCCATACTGACTTCGAAGTCCTAAACTGTGCTTTCTAAGCCCAAGCGCCAGGCCCCAGAGAAGGAGTCTAGAATCGCCAACGGCACGGCCACGGTGCCTCGGAGCATGAATAGCCAGAAGTTCCGGGCTTCGAAGGTCCTGCATACCTTGCACTTATTACCATTATCAGCAGTTTGCTGAGAATGCCGTGAGGGCGCCCGAACTTCGAGTTTGGTTAGACGCGCTAACTGTCTGCCGAAGGCCCTTGCGAAGGGGTGGTTGTCCTTTGTAGTCGGCGCCAATGGCGGTGGTCATGGTGATGTTCTTCATGGTGTTGGTAATGGTTATGTCAGCGGGTCACTCTGCTGTTTATCCTCTCGTAGTTGTAGAACTGCGATAAGTACCGTGCCGACTATGAAGGTTTTGGGCAGTTCTACGCGAGTCAGCAGCCTTCAAACCCACACTTTGCCGTCATCTGACGGAGTGGACGCGTAAGTCCTTCAGGTTGAACACCTTCTAAACTTCTACATGCTAAACCCCAAAGCCATAAACTACAAACAACTACAAGTAGCAAGCTCAGCGGACTTAGTATCTGAAGCCATGCCTGCCTTGTGCGAGTGTGTGAGTCGACACCCTAAACTCTACAAGCCAGAAATCGCAAGCCGTAACCTTGCCGATTGGTTAGTAGGGAATGGAGGAATGGGGTACAATTATAACTACTATTACTACCATTCTTCCATTCCCTACTAACCAACGGTAAGTAACCCCCAGGCAAAGGAGAAGTCCGCCAAGGACGATGAGGCCGACGAGGACGAGGCTCCTTGCGGGCTCGATGGGCTTGGCTGCAGGGTAGATCTACATGAAAACAAATATATATATATATATATATATATATATATCGAATGTGAGCTTGCATTAATATATATGTACCCTAAACCCTCGTCTGACTCGTCGAGCACGAGTGACAAAAATATGTATGTATATTTGTGTTTACATACATACATACATACATATATATATATATATCAACATATGGGGAGAGGGCCGAAGTCTTCGAACACAACCCTCGCAGAAGCCATAAAAAAATGCTGACTGTGCAAATGTCGCGGTAAAGGCATGAAACTCCGACAGCTAGTGCATTTAAGTTGAACAATTTACTTGCTACATCCCGATTGGCATAGCCACCAAGAACATGCTCTCCTACTGATGTTGTTGTACATACTCGGTGGCTGGGGAGGTTTGTGTTCACGACCTCCGTCGTTCTCACATAAGCAGGATCACTGTGTTCTGGGTGGCCGTCGTTGTGTTCATGGGTTTCGTCGTGCTGCTCTTGCTGTTGAAACTATCTTGCTACCTCTTGAGGTGCTAGTCATGTCAATTCTCAGCGTAGGGTTTCAACTTTCCATCCTTTCGGCTTCATTGGGGGCGCTGCGCTTTCAAAAACGATCTGAGCTTTGTCAATTAGCCGTTTGCAGTTTTCGTTTTGGCTTCCTGAGTGGATTATGGTTCATGACTTCAAAGCTTTCCGAAAGTCCACGGACTCTTGACTTCGAAGTGGCGGCTTCCCGAGCTTAGGTAGGGCATAAACACACCTCACACCGTGACCGACACAACAAACATGGGTGCGACTTGCAGTTTCTGCCAGCCAGGTGCGCATGCTGGAGGAGCTGCGAAAGCGTGCGGAAGAGCGGAAGAAGAAGATGGAGGTCCGGGATGCCGTGCTTGCGCGACATGGATGTTGCAGCCGACAGATGGGAGTTTCCGAAAATGGGGGACCACAATATAGCACCCTAAATAGCAGGATCCTTATTATGGGTCCCCAAACTAAGGTACCCCTAATTTTCGGAAACTCCCAGATAACCAGGGCCACCTGGCAGTTGAAACTCAACAGTCCCACTCGCAGCACAGTTCAAGAAATCCCATTTCCAGGACCTCAAGAAGAAGGAGGCTGGGTCAGGGAAGCACAGTTGCATGCGCGCCCAGCACACGACGGCTTCAGGGGTGTACTATAGGGGCCAAAATAATTACCTATACTATTTCTAGGGTTCAGGGTTCCCTTATTATGATTGTAGTATAATGGCCACCAAAACCCTATTCTAATTGATAAGGCCCCTATACTAGGATCCTCACTCGCTGCGCAGGAGGAGCTCAAGAAGAAGGCAGCTCCCAAAGAGGATTCCTGTTTGCAAAATGCGACAGTGTGTGGAATAAGAAGCAGAATATCAATAGCAATAATGATGATGGTAAGACAGATGTAGTTGCGGTAATATGATCATCATCGGAATACTAAGTAATACTGGTGATTAGTTCCTGAAATTCCAGTGGTACTAACAAAGCTTGTACAATAGTAGTACCTTTTTTTTGCCTATAGTAAGTGGCTTTGCAAGAGGCGCTTCCTATCAAGGCAGTGCGAAATGCACCACCAAGGCCTTCATTTGGATGCTCGTGATCCGAATTTTTAAACTCACTGGTTGTGTTCGCACAGAGGCACCTGCCTGGTGCAGCATGCAAACGGGATGCCAGAGCTGAGAGCAGAGTCTGAAGTTTCGCAATGCTCCTGACCTAGAGCTGTGGACCTGTCTAGCACAGACAAGGACAGCAAGCCAGAAGCCAAGGCTCGAATTTCGTGTTGGCCCTTCAGGGTTCAGGCTTGAGATCGTTGATCGGTTTTCGGTCTCGGACTTCGTACGCTTCCGTTTCCTGTCGACGCTCAGAGGTGATTCGTTTGGTGGGCGACGGGAATTAGGGAGCTGTGTTATCGAGTTCAGAGGTCTCAGCATTCGGCACCTTATTCAACAGGAGTTTACTGGGCAGCTTGGATGTAGCTATCGCCAGACAGTGGACCTGGCCCGCTCTGCCAGGAAGGTCCTTGAAAGTCACCCAGAAGACCACCCTTCGCACCCTTCCCCCCTTAGCCACATAGCTAGGCGGATGACAAACCGAAACAAAAAGGACTATTGCACGCATCTGTAGAAATCTATGAACCGTAAACCCCTGGTAGCCCTAAAACCCCAACGTTTAGCCCCCAAGCCCTAAACACCTTCAGCTCTAAACACTCGGATCTTACAGATCCCTTTTTTAAGAACAAAAAACAAGCCCAAGCCCAAGCTATCCTCAGCGCCACAAACCCGAAAACGCCTTTGCGGCGTTCGCACAGGTGAAGGAGTCCAAGGAGCTCTGAAGTGCTTTAGAGCGGGTTTTGGGTTCAGTGCTAGGGTTTGGGGGCTTAGGGCGAAGTGGAAAGCCTGTTGCAAAAAGGGGTTTAGGGTTTCGTGGTTTGAGGTTCAGCGGTTTAGGGGTTTAGGGTTTCACTGGTTCCACAGTACGTGCTGTGGAGGGCTTCCAGGGTCCAACTTCCTGGCGAAGTCGCAAGCCTGTTGCAAAGGGGTCAAGGGCTTAGATCTTAGATTCTTTAAAACCCATTGCTTAAGTAGGACCCCTCTTTTCATGAAGGCATATTCCTTCCTTAAGGGGCTTTCGAGTCTCTTGGGTACTGAGAGTCACGGGGTTAAAACGGTCATTCTAGCGGTTTTGGCTGTTGGGTTACAACGAGGACTACTCCTCGTTTTTCTGTGAGGGTTACTAGAAGAGTTTCGCTCTGGGGCTCACTAAGACTCGGGTTCCAGGACCGAGGCCCAATCCCTAAACCCCAAAACTTCGGAGCCCTAAGCCCCCAACCCCCAAAGCCCAGCCTTAACCTCTTCGGAAGATTTCTGTCGTAACGGAGTCAGACTTTGAGCAGAGGTACAAGTAGTTGAACAACTAATCAATCCTCTGAGCCTCTTAGTCTTAGCCCTTAAAGCCTAAACCCTGAAGCCCCAGCCCCCAAACCCTCAACCTTTGAACCCTTAAACTACTACTTACTACTTACTACTACTACTACTACTACTACTACTACTACTACTACTACTACTACTACTACTACTACTACTACTACTACTACTACTAGTACTACTACTATAACCATTATTCTTAATCCACTACACCCTTCACCCGATTCCCTCCTCAGGAGAAGCGGAAGAAGTCCGAGGCTCCGGCCGAGAGCCCCGAGGCGGAGCGCTCCCGCTCCCGCCCAAGGAAGGGCCGCGAGGCCCAAACGCGGGGCAGGGGATTTAGGGTTTATAGGGGTTAGGGATTTAGGGATTTAGGTGCAGATTTGAAGTCTTGCAGTGCTTCCCAGCTGATCGGCAGAGTCTGGGTTCAAAAAAAGGGTTTAGGGTTTAGCTGGTTTAGGGTGCAGGGTTTGGGGTTTGGATAGTTCCAGTTTCTTGGGCCCGCTAGGTTTTTGGAACCTCAGTCAGCAGAACGGAGCTTCAGGGCGTGGGCGGACACGCTGGCTGACACTAAGAGCCCAGCTGCAAAAAAGGGTTTAAGGTTTAGGGTTTAGGGATGGGAAGAATATAAGGAAAAAGAATAGTAGTAACAGTAGTGAGAACCGTGGCTTATGACTATACTCGTCCCTATATAGTTACATAGCAGCAGCTTCTTGCCACTAGGCAGCAACAGCATGTCTTCCGATTTCCTGCTGCTGTTCTCTACCTCAAGAAGAGCGGTCGCAGTTGTGCCAGCGCTGTGTGTTTCTTCTACTGAGTAGGAAGGACGAGCGCGATCCAATCATCGCATATGGCGTCGGCGCCACATTCGCCAACATCATCACACCACATCCATCACCACCGCCACCTGAGACTGCACCTCCACCGCACCCACCACCACGATCACCAGCATCACCTTCACTCCACATCGTCAGCATCATCACCAGAATTCTCGTCGTCTTCATCGTCATTTTCATCAGTATTGCAATCGCCACCAGGTCAACAACACAAATCTTGACTGTCGACATCAAAACCCTGTACAACCTGTATTGTCAGCGTTGTCATCTCGTCCTGCTGCTCCGCACCTTGACTCCCTGAGCAGCAACAGAACCATCATCATCATCATCACCATCATCAGAATCCTGACGACATCATGTGCATTACCGTCGTCATGTCTGTCGTCCTCATCATCGTCACCACACAGCCGGTCCTTTCGTTTTCTCTACGAGTCCACGTAGTTAATGCTTTGCCCTGAGCCCTCTGCTGCACCGGGAGGACCGAGACCGTGAGGATCGGGGGCGTGATCGCCGCGGAGAGGGCCGCAAGCGCAATCGCTCCGAGGATACCTTCCTGTTTTTGCTTCGGGGTTATGGGCAGTTATGGGTTGTACAAGGGTTCGATGAGGGTTCTACACGCTCTCGAACGGGCTATAAGGCTTGGCAACTGGAGTCTAGAGCCGCAGTCGACCTTCTCACAGTGAACCGCCACGTCTGAGCGTCCAAACCGCAAAGAGCTTAAACTCCCCCGAACTGCACTTCGCAGGACCGGAGAAAGGAGAGCGAGCCCCGAAGGGGCCGAGAGGCTGTTGGTGTTGATATGTATTTTTCACACGGGGATTTAAGGTTTAGGGTGTTTAGGGTGGAGGGTTCGGGGTGCAGGATAACTGGGATGGTTTCTGCTGGTTATGCCCCGTCATTATTGGCAGCATTAGGCGGCTGTTGAAAGCTGGCATGGTTTCAGTTGAAAAGTTTCGCTGTAGGTTCGGAGTCAGGAGTTGCAACTCTCCAATGCATTCGGCCCTCAGACAGGATTGTTTCGTGTTTCCATGAGCTTCATGCCAAAAGTAGGAGTGTAAGAGCTGGGGAATCTGTTGAAAGAAGCAGACGACGGAGATATTAGGGCTGCTGCACAAGAGCAGCGAGAATTCCAAGAAAAACAGTCCGAAAGTGTAGGCAAAAGCAGTCGAAGCTATCGCAGCATCGGCGTAGTGGATAGCCGAGGAGCTGGATAAGTAAGAGACCGAGGAGTGCCCAGTGCTGTAGGCTGTAGTCAGAATAGCCGCGGTAAGATTCAGAGTGTAGGAGACTTGCCTCACGTTGTAGTTGCGCCTAGCACGATATCAGTGTTGGTCGTTTTCCGACTTTTGAGGGAAACCTGACCAGGACCGCGATGACCGAGGTCGCGATCGGCGCGGAGATCGGAGGGGTCGGGACCGGTCGGAGGACGGGAGCGAGACGGAGAGTCAGAGTGCATTCCTGGACCTTTTTGTGCAGAACGCAGCAGGGGAAATACTTGGACGGAACTGGGTGTTTTTATTACGGTGTTAGGAAGATTCTGACTATTGCTATTATTGCTTTTACGGCGGTTTGGACCGGCTGAAGGCGGCAGTCGTTTTTTGTCCTTATCCCTGTCCTTGTCGTTCCAGCGGTGCGGGTTGAAACCGGTGTTGGTGCAGCTGGGGGTGGTTGTGCTAGTTGAGGTGTGCTGTTGCTCTTGTCTTAAAGCTTTTCAGGTGATGGCCCCGTTGTAAGCCCCTGTGACTCCGCAGGACCGTCGCCGGGACGACCGCGGCCGCGATCGCCGTGGCGATCGTCGGGGTCGGGATCGTTCCGAGGCCACCCCTTTTCTGCGAAACGTCCGGCCCAAGCCAGGGCCTCAACCCGAAAACAAATTAATACCAAAAACTGTCAAAGACCCCCAGCATCCTTGAGCATCCCTGAACCCATCTTGACCCTAAACTTCTACGAGTAGTAACCTGTGCCTAGACCTCGCAGCCGACAGGACAGGCGACGTGACGACCGGGGCCGCGACAGGCGAGGGGACCACCGCGGCCGAGATCGATCGGAGGATGCCAAGGAGGGTCTCAAAAATTTCGGCTCGGGGTTTGAGATAGCACGGTAGTAGTCGTTTGTAGTAGTGTTACTTCTTGTAGAGATGTGTTGAGTAATTCTCAATGGTCTCCTTCGCTCTTGCCTAGCTTATTTCAGCATGATCCTTGCTATCCTTTGCTGCTATGTCTATGTGTCCATATATGTGTGTATAGTTATGTATATACGTTTGCATGCATGGATGGAGGGATGGATGGATGACTAGTATTATATAGCTTCTCTTAGTAGCATCTCGTAGCGATTGCTGGAACTGTGATAAGTTCAGGCAGCGCCCTTCGTCGCTACCTGGTGCTGGATTCCAAAAAAAAGCTTCCAGAGCAGCGTTTTTGTCCCGACTCGCTTTCGTGTTGCTCAGAAGACCCAATCATAGCCAGCCTTTGACGAGGACCGGCGAAAGGCAGACAGCCCGGACAAGCGGAAGGGCCGAGAGGATTGGTTTTGAATCCAAAAGTGAGCAGCCCAATCAAGTGGTCGGGCAAAGCAGCTGGTGTAGTAGCGACGAACTGACTGGTCTTACTGACAATAAATCTGCCAAGTCATCACGGTAAGGCAAGATCCAGTACACAACAGTGTCTGGTCAGTAGAGGCGGGTTACTGTTTGATCTGTTTGGTTTCGCAGCGAGCTCTGCCAGACCTTCCTGTTGCTTTTGCCATTTGCGATGCGGCAGTGGGCCGCGGCTAAGCGGCTAACCCATCTTCTGAACCTGATCGGATGAACCGAAGAGATTGGCCACCGTCATCACAACTTTGGTCACCGAAGCAGCCATGACACCGGACCCTGCAAGGAGAAGGACGATAGTGAGCCACGTGGACGTCAGCGCGAGCCGTCCGAGGACCTCCCTATGGAGACGTGAGCATCACAGCTTTTCCCCACGACGAAAAGATCACATCAGCAATAGTGGCTTCTGCACTAGCAAGCAAGCAGGGTTCGAATGGTTCGAGGCCTGGAACGCGGGTTTCCTTGCTGCGTGCTCATGGTTCGTACTAGGGTTCACACATCCCTTGGCGAATCTCCCTACGCCTGTGCGACTTCGCATGTCGTGCTGCTCGCAGGACGAGGAAGATGAGCGCCATGTCAGCACAGATGGCCTAGTAGGACTTTTGGCAAGAAGTCTCTTGGAGGCTTCGGTGGTACCGCTTTTCTGGATTCCACAAGAAAACTCTAAGTGCACGTCTACCTCAACCAACAGCTTCCGATCGGTGCAGAAAGCTGCAAGCTCGCTCCATGATGGACCTAGCTGGGAAAATATTCTGAGGCGACAAGAGAAGAAACGTCGCCAGGAAGAGGAGGTGCCTCTGTGTTGCCTTTGAGCCGGGTAAACAAATTCACACTGCAGTTGCGAGGTTGTTATTCTTCTTGCTGTTGGCGCTGTTTGTGGTGGGGTTGTTGATTGTTGATTGTTGTTTGCTGCTGTTTGTTTGCTGTTTGCTGTTTGTTTGTTTGTTTGTTCATTGTTGCTCGTTGTCTCTTGTTTGTTGTGTGTGGAGTGTGGTGTTTGTGGCGTGCGTTGTGTGTTGTGTGTTCGTTGTTGGCGGTTGATGGGCGGTGGTGGTGGCGCTTGTTCTATGTGGGTAGTTGTCAAAATAGGGGTCCCTTGTAGGGTACCCGAAATAATAGGTGCCATATTATATTAGGGACCCAGAAAGGGACCAAAGTTTTGATAACGTGTATTATCCTTCTTATTTGTTGTTGCCATGACGGTTAATACTTATCGCATTGTATTCTTGGCACTGTAATTTTTACGATTTTCTACTGATCTGAGATGATAAACGTGATAGACACCGCCTGTGGACAGCCTCAAAACTCAGGAGAAGAGCAAGGCGGAAGCTGACAGGACGCAACCGCGTTTGCCGGGCTTCCGGCTGTGAATCTTGTCATGTTTCCTTGGAGTAGGGCTTTGCGTCCAGATGTGTAAACGCTACACCCTAAACCGAAGCCCTAAAGCCCTGAAACAGGAAAGCCGCCGAGAGAGAAAAGGAGGCAAAAGAGGCCGAAGCCGCCGAGGAAAAGCGCAAGATGGAGGAGGACGGCAAGTTCAGTAGCCACGTGACTTCCCTCGCTAGGTGTGTCATTGTTCTTTCTAAACTGTTGAAGGACAGAATCCCGCATTACCTCAAGGACCCTAAACGATGGGAATTATGATATATTCCTTATTATGGGTAATGCAGGATTTTGTCCATCAGCCGAATTTTCACGGAGAGAGGCTTTTTGTGCGACAGAACGAGGAACCGGAGACTAGAGATTCAGATGCGGTCGGTTTGGGCAGTGTAGCAAGCAGTCATGCAAGATTCCCTAGCCACGCTATGGCTGCTTGTATCGAGGCAGGCTGTGGTTACGGCTTGTTACGGCCATATGGAAGTTTCCGAAAATAGGGGGCCCTGATATAGCACCCTAATTTTTCGGAAACTCCCATATTGCTTGCAGAGTATCCGCATTCTGTCAGGATCAGAAGAGAGATGATGCCAGGCATCCTGGCGGCAACGATTGGCACCCCGTGCGAGTTTCCTCGAACCAGGGCTTTGCGCGTTTAGATCGGTGCTTTTTTTGGGATGCCTTGTCTTGAGCTACAAGCTCTGTCACGATGCTTTTAACGATCTAAGGGGCTCCGTTTTTGCTCTACATTGGAAGGGGGATGAGACTTTTGGACCAAAATGAGGAACACCACAAAGCAGCGGGAAGGATGCCAGGGAGGGAACCCCGCGCGTAGTCCAAGCACCGCCCGTGTCACTGCATGTCAGAATTCAGACTTGATCCTACTGTAGAGGCCTTCAAAATTACCTATACTATTCTGCAGCCAACAGACCCTGCATCGTAGGTTCGTCCTAGCCAGGCGGTAGGCAAAAAAAATTCTGGGGGTTCCTTTCTATAATTACTAGTATGATATACCACAAAACCCTATCCTAATTAGTAAGTTCGCCTTGCTGTTCAAGCTTCCTCACTCATGTCTTTTCCGCTCAGCCCTTGCTGGAAGCTCAAATCGCAAGAGGAGCTGATGATTTGGGGCTTAATATAGGGTTCGTGGCACAGAGAGAGAGCGAGAGAGAGAGAAGTAACTAAGGTCCCCTGAAAGATCCTACCTCCACATGCAACCCCAAGTTCAGTTCTAATCATTATAAACCCCTAAATTAGAGCCTCTGAGGCGTCGGACGGCAGACCGTTCCGATGAGCCAAAGCGCTCACTCTCCGAGGTGCATTAACTCGGTAGGGCTCTGTGTGTTTTGTGGTTCGGGATGGTTTCGGGCCTGGTGCTTTCATTGTATTTTCGAAAAAGTCGTTGTAGTGCGGAGATTTGGGGTTTCGAGCTTTCAGGCATGGACTCGTATACGGTTCAGGGTTTTCGGCGGGGCTAGTCTCAAGACGTGGAGTGCAAGCACCCCGGCCCCGACAATCCGAGTTTTCGAGGGACCCTAAGTCCGAGTTGTGAAGGCGTAAACCCCTAAAAAATAAACGGCTACTAGGCCCAAAATGTCCGAAACTTCGGAACCTGGCAGGAGAAGAGGCGGAAGGAGCAAGAGATGAGGCTGCGTTCCCCATGAGGGGTCATGGATGTCCGTCATGCTTGTAGTTTAGGACTTTCGGGCTCATATTTAGGGCCAAGTTCTTAGGTTTGTTAGGGCCTTAGTTCGGGCTGCAGGCCAGCATTTTGAGTGATGGAGAGATTTGGTCCGTTCCGTCGTCGAAGATTGCTCGGTTCATCTTTATTTGCTCCGTTACTTGCATTGGTTGTTCATCGTCTGCTTTGTCGTTGTGTCATCATTTTGCCGTTGCTTGTGCCGTCCTGCTTTGATCCTTTCCGTGGCTTTCCATGAGCTGCCTCATTTGGTGGCCCGCAATTTCGAAGCATGAATCTTGATCCTGCTGTTGGATAGTTATCCTGCGCCTTGTTATTCCTCAGCATGGCTTCATACATCGTATGGATGGAGAAGAACGATAAAAGCGATGACAGGACGAAGCAAACGGTAGACAGAAGCATGACACTATGAAGACCTATGAGTACCCACATTGAGGTTTTATCCGGCTTTCGGATCTCTGCATGCCAGAGAACCTGAATGTCATAAGCCAACAGAAGGTGGATGTTGGATAATTTTGGGGTGGTGTCAGGTTCTGTATGCTGACCCCTGACAAATGCACCCAATATGTGTGACTCATGCAAGGCTTCGGGAGGAGGAGCTTCAAAAACGGCGCGAGAAGAAGCGAGCGCAGGAGCAGGAGGCCTGCTGTTGTTGCTAATGTTGGGAGCGTTTGGAAAGATGGCTGCCTGGGTTTGTAGCTTGCAGCTTGATTTATGCTGTAATTTCCTCACTAGTCTCATCCGTGCCAGCTCCATCGTCGATACGAGACGTCTTTGGCCGGGTCATGCCAGGTCTCTGTACCCAATGATGATGCAAAGCGTGCGTCAGTTCACCACCACAGCCGGCAGCACTGCTGGCCCATGCTTCTGGAACAGCCTAGATGGTTAGAGAGTACTCAAGCTTTCCAGGAAATGATGTGCTTCACTTCCATGTCAATAAGATATTAAAACCATCTCGGCGTTTGGGGCCTGGCTTCTCGGACTCATGGATGTCTATAGGCTGGCACAGCGCATATCGGATAAGCTGGACAGCCCCGGGCTGTGGTTCGAGGGGCCAGGCCGTCATCATGCCAAAGAATTCCTCCTCCCCCACTTCTGGAAGCATGTGTGCGGCTCATGTGGCGAACTGGCAAGTTCACAAGCTCTGAGCGCGTCACATCGTTATCCCATCGTTATGGGGGGGGCTTTTGGATTGAGAGCACCTGCCTGCCAATGACAAATTCAAGGCCTTTGAGTCAGCAAATAGGATCGGCACTGACTTTGCACACTTCCTCGTGTGGGGGTCCCGAGCTCCATGTTTATCCGACGACATCCCCTCCGCATGCACCAGGAGAAGAGCAAGTATGATGCAGACAGGCCCAGCTGGAGGGTTTTGTTCTGGTTCTCTCGTGTCACGGCTTCGCCTCCCCCCGAAGCTTTGCGTTCAAGAAGCCCAGATATCAATAGTATATGTACACATATGTATAAATATATACATGCAGATATATTATACCAATATTGTCTTTACTAGTTTTTGCTAAATCTGTATGTAGATTAGAAGTTATAGTTGTCATTCAATTATCGACTGCATATTACGTATTGTGTTGTCTTTTTATGTCTTAGACACCAGACACGTGCACACATACAGATAGATAGATGGATAGATAGAGTCTTTGAGAGAGCAGCGTGTAGAATCTGGAGGAAAGATCGGCACAAGGACCACGACAAGGAGCCTTTGGAGGAACTTTTTCGGGTGTGCATAGGGATTAGAGTTTAAGGTTGAAAGCCTGCAGCAAAAAAGGGTTTAAGGTTGGGCATTTACAAGTCTGTGCGAAAGGGTTTAGGGTTTGGAGTTCAGGGTCTGGGGTTAGCGTGTCGCGATCGGGGTTTCGGGAGAAGGCTGTTGCACTGTTAGGGTCTGCATGGGCCTACTACAGTCTAACATGAGAACAAGCGCTGCAAGCTGACGCAGGCTGGGATTTCAAGTTTCATGCTTTGTGGGGGTTTTGCTGCTTCCTTATTTGGCAGCAATGCTACTGTGACACTGTGGCCGTTGCTTTTATGAATAGACCAATACAGCTGAGAGTCGATACCATCACGCTGCGTGACAGGAGGATAAGGAGGATCCCAAGCTCCCGGGCCGCAAAAGGAGACCTTAACTACTTGTATCTAGTAGTCTAGTACATAATAGTAGTCTAGGATATATTTGAGCATCATATGTATTAATTCCTTGTATCTAGTAGTCTAGTATATGATTGGACATCATAGGCATTAGCTCAAGCTAGGTGCCGTCCTCTTTGTGGCAGTCTGTGGTGGCCATGTCATAGGACCGTAACTACTTGCAAAAGTCTGTGGAAATGTTGCCCAGTGCATAGCTGCAAGCTTGAAGCACAGGCAGAAGGAAGAAGACACCAAAAAGCGGCTGGAGCAAGAAGCCAAAGTTCTCCGTGAACAGCAGGCTTCAGATGTGTCCAAACGTGCACAGGACAGAGTGGTGTACTGTGATGAGTTGACGCCAGACCAAGCCCCGGAAGGCCATGCTCAATGTCCTGAGGGTGCTGCAGAAGTTGCCCAGACGGCATTCTTGGATTCGGTTCAGGGTCCGTTCATGATTGTAACATCGAGTGAAGTTTGTATTAGCAGTACAAAGCCAGCCTGCTGGATGTCATTTTGAGGCTGTCAAATTCGACACCTGACACCTTCGAGACCCTGAAGAAAGATGCATGGCTGCATACCTAACCGGATAGCGTAGGACGAGTAGGATTGCTATTGGCTCACGCTTGGGCCACGAAGGATTCGCCCACTTGCTGCCCTCTCCAGCTAGCTGTAGTTCAGGAATTCTGTGATCGTCAATGTTCCTGTCCTTTCCGAGCCTTGCTAGATGGTACACAGCCGGGCCAGCTGCTTAAGAGCTACTTTCACCAAGCACCGGGCCAAAGCCTTCAAGCCTCTCCTGATAGTATCTGCGTGGCATGTGGTATGATCCTGCATTGTTTGAGGTGCCTCCCAGGGTCAAGCGAGCGCGCAAGCTACCAAAGCATAGTAGCCGTTGCAGGCACAGCCGCAGTAGTGGATGTTCGCAGCAGCTGTTGTAGTTTTTGCTGCGTTAGCAGCAGCAGTAGCAGTAGTAGTAGTAGTAGTAGTAGTAGTAGTAGTAGTAGTAGTAGTAGTAGTAGTAGTAGTAGTAGTAGTAGTAGTAGTAGTAGTAGTAGTAGTAGTAGTAGTACTAGTACTAGTACTAGTACTAGTACTAGGACTACTACTACTAGTACTAGTACTAGTACTAGTACTAGTACTAGTACTAGTACTAGTACTAGTACTACTACTACTACTACTACTACTACTACTACTACTACTATACTACTACTACTACTAACTACTACTATACTACTACTACTAGTACTACTACTACTATTCAATTGAACGCTGTGCGAGCGGGCTCAGCACATAGCGGGCGATTGCCGCGGTGCACTCACATGGTGTGAAACTGACTCAGACCCTATAGCTGAACAGCCCAGGTCGAAGACCTTTGGGTGTTGGCGGCCTACAGGCTTCCAGCTAACTGGCAGTGGTCAGCCGAAGCAAGTTGGTAGGCTGCCAGGCATCAAGCTTCAGATTGTTGTGTGTACCTGAGCGAGGATAGTGATTATGCAGCACTAGTAGCAGAGGCACAGTTCTGCGACTGGCAGAAGGCGAGGCATGTTTTTCTCTGACAGCGGCGGCAATCAGCAGAAAGGCCGTCAGTCCGTTCCGGAAGAAACGAAGTAGAAATGCAGGCATGGCCTCCGCATTGCACTGCATAGGTTGCCATTGGCACCGGTGATCAAAGTTGGAGCTCACTGGTGCCAGGAGCGGCTGCCACTGGCCCCCGAGTCCGAGCCACGATTCCACCACCCTCCTCGGGTCCAGGCATCGCCGTCCCTGTAGCGCTTGTCTGTGTGAGACTGTGTCTCTTCACCAGAGCGCTTGTCACGCTGTTCACGCTGTTCACGTAGCTCGCGTTGACGATGCCATTGGTAGGTGGCCGTGTCGCCCTTGTTGTGTTCGATACGGAGCTTGCGGACAACTTGACCATCCCGAGGCTGGTAGAAGATGGCGCGATTTTGGCCACCACTCTTCCTGGAGGACTGGTCATAGATGCACTTGAAGGTGGAGGCCACGATCTCGAAGTTGTCATCCGTTTCGAGCAGTGCGCTCATGTCCGGATGATCCCACATCTTCTGAAAGAGGGCGTGCACTATGCCATAGTAGGTCGTGGTGGACTTGAGCTCGGTGTAGCGATCATCTTGGCCAATGGATAGTGTGAATTGGCCATTGGCCCCGACCATAAGCCGCGCTTGCGTGATGTCAAGCCAGTTGGCATCCTTGTCAGTGGCGACCTTCTTGATCGGGGCGAAGATCCATGGCACCTTGCCCAGTGCCCGAAACCGATTGGTCCAGAGGTAGACCTGCTCGGAGGCCGTGAGGCCACCCACTATGGCCTGCTCCTTCATAATGGAAATGGTCGCGAAGGCATGAACCCACTCCAGCATCTGGTCAGACTGGCAGATGTGGATAATCTGATCTCGCTTTGGCAGTTGATTTGCCTCTTGCTCTGGAGAGGGGTTGACACTGTACTCCACCAGCTTGGTCGTAGTGACCGGTCCCTGGTATTTGACTTCTGCACGCGTAGAGGGGGCATCCACAGGGGAGGATGATGTGGTGTCAGCCGGGCCTGGGGTCTGCGGGACGGTCTCCTCGGTGGGGGCAGACGTCGGAGTCACATGCTGGGCTGAGAATGCATTGAAAGGCCGATCACTTGTCTGGCCAGAGCCAGCAGACTTGTGTGACTGCGGTGTGCTCGCCGGCAGCATCGGAGTGTCTGGCGTGCCCACAGTGTCTTCCGCCCATCCCAACGTGGGAACAGCAGTGGCCTGTTTCTCATCCTTGATGTCCGCCTTTTGGTCATTGACCCCCTGTTCTTGTTTCACTGCAAGAGGCCGGTGGCCCTGCGCATGTGGGGTAGGACCTGGCGGAATGGGAGGGAGGCCGAGCCCAAAGCGTGCACACCGACGCTGTGGGTCTCCACTGGGGCGGACGGTCCGCCGTGGGTTCTGGTGGTGGTGGAGCCTGGCCTGACGCTGCAATGGCTGCAGCTGAGGGAGGGTTTGCAGGCTCTGCCGGGCGCTGCGACCACATGCTGTTGCGAGGCGGAGGGCTTGGTGGCTCGGGCACTGATCGGTCGTGCCGGGATTGCATGAAGTGGTGTGTGACTCCCAACTCATTTGGGAACTTCAAGCGCCGACCGCCGCGCTCACAGTAGCGGCAGGAAAGCCAGTCTGGATCTTCAGGGTGAAGGCAGAGGCCTCGGGGGATGTTGCGAAGGACAGCCTCGGCCGAAATGCCGTGGTACTGCGGCTCCTTCTCGACCGCCGCCATGATCGCGTCAAAATCACCCCGTTCGAGGCTGCTGAGCACGGTCTCGCCGACAACTCTGACGCCTGCATTGGTGAGCATTGCTCCCGCCTGTGCTGAATGGGGTGCTGCAGAGGCAGCGCCACCGGCTTCAATGACCTCCGAGACGATTTGGGGCACGCTCTGCATGAGAGAGTTTTCATTTCTTTGAGCTGCCCTGGGGTCGCCCTTGAAGCCTTTTCGCCAGCTCCAGCATCGGGTGAATGCTACCCGAACCTGACCGCGGGTCTCAAAGTAGTGACCGTCGGACTCAAGCTCTTTGGACTTGGTGAGCTGAGCTGAATGTCGCTCGCGGAGCAAATACACCGGTCCGAACTGTCGGGTCTGGTTCCATCCTGTCACTGGGGTGTGGCCCATGTCGTGCGTGAGGAGCTTCCAAAGTTCCTTGCAGAAGATCATGTAGTCCAGGTTGGCGACCGAGGCAAGAATTTGCCTGCTGAAAGCGTGGTTTATAGCGCAGAGCATGAGGGGATGGCGCGGTTGTCCATAGATGATGCCCTGGAAAATGTGGTCATTTTTGACCCCAATGCCCATGATCATGTACTCCTTGGGCAGAACCCCTTCCACTCCATTTGGGCAGTGCCCCAGCTCTTTGCTCTTGCGAACTTGGACATTGTCCCATTCTGAAGCTATGAGCCCTAAAATTTGATCGAAGGGCATTCGCAGCGCCATCTTGATATCAAGGTACAGGCCACCATGATAGTAGTGGTAGACGTACCTGAAGACATCAGCCTTGTGAGCAGGCTGCCTCAAACTTTTGATCAAGTGTTCTCCGCTGTCTCCAGCATGCACCTGAAGGGTCTCGAGCAAAATCTCGTCATTGCAGAAGGAGCGCTCGAAATCAGCCAGGAATTCCCGGCACATGCTTTTGGGACCTGGGTGGTCATCGTGCATGTATGTCTGAAAAAGAGTGCGGGGCATTGGCCGGCGACTGACATAGGGTTCCAGGAATGGTCTGAGGGCCCATGCCTTGCCCGTGTGTCGAGCAGCCACCGCACCCACCTCAGACAGTGTCTCCGCGCTGCACAGGTCGAACGTGGCGTTCATCTCCTTGTGGACATTGTCCCCCTGGCAGTTCCATGAGCACACAACCAGAACATGGATCGCATTTGGCTTCAGTCGCCGCATCGTTTGAATTGAGCGGGATACCAGCAATCCAATGACGTGATCCGCCACCGTCGGTCGAAAGTGACAGTTATTTTGGTTGTATATTTGATCGACCAGGGGAGGAGGGCCTTGGAGGCTCATGATGGTCTCATCGCTGAGCTCGTACCGTCCCAGGCCATACTGATCCCTTAGCTCCGCGATCCAGTCGTAGGCCTTCTGCTTATGGGGTAATAAGCTTTGTCTGATGGGGATCAGGCGCACGCTAACCTCGTCATAGTAATGATCACGGAGAAAATTGATCAATGCAGGGCTTTCCGCCGGGAAAGATCGCGTTTCTCCAAGGACGCGGATGAATTGCCAGGCCAGTACCTCCAACACCGCTGGGTTGGGTGGCTGCGCACCCGTGTACTCTGCTGTGAGAGTGGTACCCGGGCAGGAGATGACGTAGCCGTGCATTGCACCCCGAACCATGTCAACGATTCCGTAGGATTGGCCATTGGCCCCCTGCCATAACAAGTGTTGCAAGGTGCTGTCACTGAGCACCAAGAAGGGCTTCGGCGTGGTCGGTGTGGCTGCCATGCCCAGTTGCCAGTGCTCGTTGAGCACCGCGCCCTTACTAGGCTGAGGGAAAGTGAAGTGGTGAGGAACTGCGCAGGAATGTCAGAGCTGTAGCCTAGGGCAGAGCATGCTGCAATGTTCTAAAGTCTGAGCCCTGAGCCTTCTGCTTTGTGTGTTGTTATGCTTGATGCCTTCAGTGATCTTGAGCCCGGCGGCGCAGCAGGAAAGCTGCAAATGCATTCACGCTGAGGCAGCGCTGCAGAGTCAGCTTGCTTGTGCGAGTGGGCAGGGGCACTGGTCCGGCCATGCCAGAAGGTCGGCGTCAGCAGGGGCAGCCTGAGGGCATCGGCGGACCTTAGAGGCGATATGCCAGCATCAGTAGCAGTAGACATGAGCGATCCGTGTGTCTCTCGCTGGCAGAAATGCTGTGTGTATCTGCCGTCTTTTCAGGTCACCGAGCCTCCAGGGAGGGTGTCGGCAGCTGAGGCTGTTGGTCAAAATTTATTGAGCTATTGGACGTGCTTCAGTCCGGCTCAGAGAGGGCGTTCAGCAGCCTCCGTAGCTTGAGCTGAAAGCCTGCTGGGCATTGCCCCCATGCC